CCGGGGACAAACTGTAACCGAGGTACGTGCCCTTAGTGGGAACCAAACCCGGGTCTCTGTGGTCCATGGGCCAACGCTCTAACCGCTGAGACAAACCCTCCAGGGCAAGAATGTTTCCTTTTTATTTGCTTTATAATGTAACTTGGAAAATTCACTCAGTCAACAAATACTGTCCTAAGTGCTCGAAATATGAACGAAACTGACAGAAAGCTCATTTTCATGGAGTTTACACTCTATTTAGAGAAATTGGACAACAAAAAAATATATACAATAAATAAGTAAATTATATAGGCGGTAAGCCTATGGAGAACATAACAGAGCAGTGCAAGGAGAGGATATATTACCATATTAATATTTTAAAGAAAGTAATATTTTTCTATTAAAAAAAAAAAAAGATATACAGAGAGCCCTGGCCGGTGTGCTCAGCGGTTAGAGCATCGGCCTGCGGTCCGGAGAGACCCGGGTTCGGTTACCGCTGAGGGCACGTACCTCGGTTGCAGTTTGTCCCCGGCCCTGGTTGGTTGTGCGGGTGGCAGCCACTCAATGTGTCCCTTTCACATCGATGTTTCTCTCTCTCTCTTTCTCTCTCTCTCTCTCTCTCCTGCTCTATCTGAACAAAAAATGAAAAAGTGTCCTCAGGTGAGGATTAAAAAAAAAAAAGAAGATATACAGAGAGAGCATTTATCCACCAATGTAAGGAGACAAGCAGTTAGAAATCATCCCAAGCAAGGATTGTGGTATTATAACTGAATAGATGAGAAAATGAGGCTGATTCTGCCCAAGCAGTGAAAAAGTATTATATTCAGCAGTACTTTTTTTTGCCAGTATATATTGTCTAAAATATATATGTAAAAATATAGTGTCCATTAGTAGCCATTTTTAATATTTTTTTATTGATTTTTTTAGGGAGAGAAAGAGAGAAACATTAATGTGAGAGAGAAACATCGATCAGCTGACTCCTGCACGCCCCCACGTGGGATCGAACCTGCAACCCAGGCATGTGCCCTGACAGGGCATTGAACCAGACCTCTCAGTCCATGGGACGATGCTCAGTCCACTGAGCCACACCAGCCGGACTAAGTAGCCATTTTTAAACTATAAAGATTCATAAAATTCAGGAAGAAATAAAATCTTACAACAAAGTAAAATTATCCATCAAGTTATATTCCCTCTTTCTGAAGGTTTTCAGAATAATCTCTTGAGAAAGATGCTTCATTGTGGATGAGCTTAAATAGTTAATAAGATAAAATGAATTATTTTATGTAAAATTACTTGGTATACTACCTGGTATGTGTGTACGTATTTGTTAAATTTTTGAAAAGTTTAAATAGTCATAAAACTATGTCCCAAACCTTACTTGGGATCACTGATTAAATTTTTAATGAGCCAGTCAATAAGAAGAAAATAAAGTGCCGATTTTTGAGAACTGGGATAACGCTTTCATGGCGGTTACCCTTAATAACACTTTTAACAGTACAGACGGAAGTAATGTGTAGTACATATGCTCGTATACTGCGGGGTTTCACCTACAGTTCATAAGTATTAAAGTTCCTTTATCCTTTGTCTTCTTCAGTTTTACTGCTCATTATACTACCATTTCCATCAGAAAGTATGAAATGGAAGGGGAAATGAAAGCTGGTAAACAAAGTGTATGTCAGTTTGGCCCTTAGAAGATAGTGAGGAAGTCAAGACAGCTAGATAAAATTAGGTTTGAGGTGTTGTCATCTGTGCTATTCCTGTCCCATGTCACCACAAATCATCAGGAATACACTTGCATAACTCATTACTCTCTCTGGTTTCAAGAATTTTTAAGATATTTATATGAGTACATTTTATTTGAAAATCAGTAATAATTATTTTTCTTAAAAAGTGCTTCTGCAAGTAGGTAAGGAGAAATATTGGGTGATCATTTGAACTCTTGGAGTTATTTTCCATTGCAACAAAAATGGAAGGAACATCTTCCCCCAGACAGACCCAGAGGCAACTTTTACTGTGTTCCCAATGTGCCTTTTTACATTGCTATTTAGTAATTCAATATGGTATTTAATTATTTACCAGTCTGTAAATTACAGTATTCATAAGTGAAAGAATAAAAATAAATAAAAGATCACTGAGATTTATATGAGTTAACCAGGTCTCTCTCTCTCTCTCCTTAAACATTAAGTTCAACAAAAGTAGGTTGATCAAGTCTATTGTTTGGGGAAACCCAGCTCCCTTAATTGCAAAAAGTTCTGAATCAAAATATAGCCATTCTTTTTTATATCTCCGTTATCCCATGCAATATAAATGCATCACATCATTATATTAACTACTGTATCTTAGCATAAGCTGCTTTCCAAATAAGCTGCAAGTATTAGAACAAGAAGTTTCTCTTGCAGTGCATACCCAATGCAAACTCATTAACTCTCAGACATCGTTAAAGGACCTCTTCTTTGGTAAAGTTAAAATAAATAGCTTATACTGTGTAATTATAATAATTGAATGTTCTGAGTAATGATTATTCAGAGACTCAGATACATTCTTGATGAAAAATGATCAAATAGACCTCTCTATTTTTAACATAGATCTTCAGAAGGTTTATTATTTTGAAATCAAATCTATTAGACCTTGTGAATACATTATTCCTCATTAAGATTCTTTTTGAATTTATTTGACATGTCAAAGACAGGGTGTCAGTGAATAATTTATAAGTAAAAATCATTTATAATATTTATCTTAGAAGTTAAAATGGATAGGACATAAGGAAAAATGAAAAAAAGACCCGTTACTGATAGGGAAGGTGACACTATACAGGAAAATCTCAAGGTTAATTTTAGCACTAATAGAACACTCTTAGATTGTCATCTAAATAATTTTACCAGATATTTTATTTTATGAACTACATTGGCTAACAGGTCAATTCATTTCATAAGGCATTAGATGTCATTGTGATTTAAAAATTACATGCCCTTATGTATAAAATGAAGAGAGATAAGCTATTCTTGGTGATCCATAAACCATTATAAGATATAAAACATTATTATTGCACTATTGAATCTGTAATAGATTATTCTTATACTTCTGTATGTGTAAAACATTTTGCCTAATAATCAACTTTTTGTTTATGGTAGCTCTGTGCAAAATTTCTTCTACCAGAAAAATGACATCAGGATAAGATGATGTTTTTCAAACACTTTGTTTTTTGTCTCCAAGGAGAGTTCCTTTGAAACATAATTCCCAAATAAGTTTATTACCCCAAAGAGTCCAGGGAAAAATCTATGCTGTTCTTAAAGCAGGAAAAGAAAAATGGCTGTTTTAAGTTTGTGGAGGCAGCAAGGTAGTATTGGGAGCTGATATGATCCTTTAGGAAACTAGGAGAACAAAAATTATTATCAGTGTTGGTAGTTACCAGTTTACATAAACACTAACCAATAATTAGTAAATCATTTATTAAATCTCTTTTAGGCTGATTACTTGGTTTTCATTGATTTTTTGGAGGTGCCAGATACATCTATATGACCTACCTTAGATAACTATTAAATAAGCTTACTCTCAGCCCACAATTGCTTAAAAATTGAAATAGTTTATCTCTAGTCCAATTCTAACTACTCTCTTTATATTTTCATTCACTGAAATCAAGAATTAAAAATACACGCTATGTAATAACTACATATGATGCCAGGTGGGTACTGGAAATATCGGGGGAACTCTTTGTAAACTATGTGATTGTCTAATCACTATGCTATACACTTGAAACTAAAACAAAACAAAAAAGAAAGAAAATAAATAAATATATATAATATATATGTGCTATGGTTGCTTAATCTAAGCAACGTAATGCCAGAAAACCAAGAAAATTTTGAAAAATTCAGTGGTTCACAACATTGTACAATCATGGTGTTTATTTACCAAAAATATTTTTATCAGTCTACTTAGCATTATATATATGCAACAATAATTATTTCAGCTAGTCATCAAATATAAGATTTTTCCTGATTTTAATCAAATTTATATAATTTTAAATGATATAATACATCATTTTTAAATTTTTTCTTATTATTAAATTCTAGGGAGCACAGTTATTATCCAAACACTCACATTAATATGTTTTCAAGTATTTTACTGACATATAAGAATAGTTTAAATTTACAACTATTTATTTTCCTACTCTTGGTTTCAGCATCATCACATTTCTTTGAAATATCCACAGAGTTCATTTCATTCCATTTTTCTCACATTACAAATATTCACACACATATACCTGCTTAAATTTGCACCCATCTTACTCTAATTATATTTTGAAACATCTAAATACTCTTGTTTTTCAAAAAGCAATAGTAAGTTATTGTGGGAAATAGCTGTGTTGGAGGGAATTCAAGCAATTTTAACATAATAAATGTTATTTTCTATATGTAATAATTTCAGAATGTAAAAACATACTTAAAACTGTTTTTGAAGAGAAATGTTTTAAAAAGCAAAATCAGCCCTGGCCAATGTGGTTCAGTAAGAATATAGGCCCATGCGTTGAAGGGTTGCGGGTTCAATTCTGGTCAAGGGCACATACTTGGGTTGCAGGTTCAATCCCTACCCCGGTCAGGATACATGCAGGAGGCAACCAACTAATCTCTCTCTCTCTCTCTCTCTCTCTCTCTCTCTCTCTCTCTCCCCCCCCCCCCACTCTCCCACCTCCCTTCCACGCTCTCTAAAGCTCAATGGAAAAAATATCCTGAGGTGAGGATTAACAAAAATAAATTAATTAAAAGCAAAATTATGTGATGAGATTACTGTTAACTCAAAGTTTAAAATCTAGACCACAAATTTCAAATTATCTTTCCATTTTTCTATTTCATTATTGCATGCTTCAGTAATTAAGTGCTATGACTAAGGTTACTTTGCTGTATAACTGTCAACTGAAGTTGCCATGCAGCATGTATCTAAAATGAAGACATTTCCTGTAGCCATTAGCTGTCATAATTTTTAAAATTAGAAAAAGAAAAGATAAATTACAATTATATACTCACCTTTTGGTGTCTTGAAATGTTCCGGCAAAATTAAAATGAATGTAATCACTATTGCTAAAAGTAATTTGAGAAGGGCTGTTTTTGTCATGTCTATTCAAATGACACACGTGTCCCCATCCAGTGCGTTAATGGCAAGTTTCTTCCTGCTTGAAGTTTCATCTCTGTGGTACTTTAAGTTTATGCAATTGACCTCATACTTCCTTTTGGGTAAGACTGAAAGAAAAAAAAAGAGAGAGAGATCTTGAACTGAGACTTTTTCATTTTCAGTCACTACCTTTGAATAAGCACTTTCAAACTATCTTCTAAACAAGATAAAAACAAAGAAATGATCTCAAGAAGCAAAGGGATCTTGTTCTCATCTAAATTTGAAGATATTTTCTCTTGTTTACCAATCGGTTGTGATAAATATAAACCCACAGTATACTCACCAAAAATAAAAGGATGAAAGTCATGTCCAGGTTATATGGACAGCTTTCATTCATTTACTTATTAAATGGTTGTTGACCTCTTTTAAGTGCAAGGCAGACACTGTTCTGGATTCTGGCATTCACAAAACAGTCTATCTAGAGGACAGTAGACCATACAAAAGGTAAGGATAAACTAAAGACATACACACAGTTTTAGTTCTACTTTACTACATGGTATAAAAGCAGTAGAATGGAACTCATTATCGTCATTCCTGTAAAGATAATGTAGGATTGTTACAGAATTCACATTTTCAGTTCCCATTTCAAAAAAAGATCTTTCGCCTGGCTGGTGTGGTTCAGTGGTTGAGCATCAACCCATGCACCAAGAGGTCGCTGGTTCAATTCCCAGTCAGGGCACATGCCCAGGTTGTGGGCTTGAACCCCAGTGGGGGACATGCAGGAGGGGGCCAATCAATGTTCTCTCTCTTTGATGTTTCTATCTCTCTCTCCCTCTCCCTTCCTCTCTCTCTAAAATCAATAAAGAAAAAAATATATCGTTCATTATGATAATCTCAGTGAAACAAAGTACTTTGTTTAGAATATATGAAGGGTAGAAAAAATTCTTGGTGAGTAAAGAATATATGCAAACAAATATTTTTGTTCCATTGTTCTTGTTTTTTAGATGTTGTTGCGCGTGTGTGTGTGTGTGTGTGTGTGTGTGTGTGTGTGTGTTTTAATGGTAATCAGCCCTGGCTGGATGGCTCAGTTGATTGAAGCGGCATCCCAAGACTAAAAGGTTGCAGGTTTGATGCTCGTCAGGGCACATACCTAGGTTGCAGGGGCATATGGGAGGCAACCGATCAATGTTTCTCTCTCACGTTAATTTTTTTTTCCTCTCTCTCTCTCTCAAATCAGTAAAAACATATCCTCAGATGAGGATTTTAAAAAATGTTAGTCAGTTTCTCCCTGCTCACACTCTCTTGTATCCCTACCACCCATGTTTCCATTTATCCTATTTCTTGTTCTTATCCATCCATCCCTAGGCTTTATGGAACAATGGGTAAGTGGGGAGTAGAAGGCAGGGAACAAAAGTCATCCTGTGAATATAGTATGAGTGTGAATGAATTGTCTTTCTTCTGATTGGAGGCCGGGATTTGATAGACAGATGGAAATCAAGGGGTAAGAGACCTTAGTACTACAACAGTCAAATGGGAGTAGTGCTTCAAACATTAGGCTTATTTTAGGAACCACATCATGAATCATTCAAAGGAAGAGAAGAATTGATGAGAGTCATTGCCCACACGGCCTACTAGACTGAGATGTACTGGAATACTGCTCCCAGCATCTTCAGTAGAGATGCAAGTGGTAGTGGTAGTGGTGGTGGTGGTTGGGGCTGGGGGGGGATCAGAGACCCTGTCCCTTAATTATTCTCCATCTTACAGGTGTCCCTAAGTGACCTTCTGCTCCCCATTTTGACCCTGTTTTGATTTGCTCAGACATTCTCTTATTTATGAATACAAACATTCTGATCATAATTTTACTAAATTGATCAAGAAAGTATTTACTTTATATAACACCATTAAGTCAATTTAATTCTTTGATCAGTTTTCTTAAAAAGGCAGTTATGCCACTTCAGTATAGGTTGGGGCAAAAGTTTTTATGGAAAGCGATATAATAATGAATAAATAATATAGGAATAAACTCTGTGTTTTGCATACTCACAGCTATAAACCACTTTTGCCCCATCCTGTATTTTTACTTTAATTTTTATTTTATTGTAATTATTTTTGGTATACGTATTTTTTTCTGTGAACAACATTGCTTTGGTTTATTTACTAATTCCTTTGTTTATATCAAATTCTATTGATTTGAGTTTTCTTTGTGGTAGTATGTACTTCCTGCAGACCTGCTCCTCCCTTCCCCATCCCCTACCACCCAATATAACCTCAAACTGCTTATCCTATTCTTGAGCACCTGGAAGACTAACTTTCCTAGCAGCTCCATGGGTCCCTCTGTTAGTGATGGGCTGACTCATGTGCTCTGCTTCTGGCCTCTTTGGTGCTATACAGATGGTGGATGCTCAGGAGACCAGTCCAGGCTCTCTAAGTCCTAGGCCACTGCCCGGCTGCTCTGAGGATATAAAGAATCAGTATCTCACAGGTGGCCCGAAATCTACTTGCTAGACACCAGTGTATTATCTCTGATTTAGCAAATGATGAGAAAATTATGATAAGCTCTCAGGCATTTCAGGAATCTTTTATTGCCCACATTGTTCTGTTATACTTAATCTAATTTTTACAAATACTTTTGATTATTCTGACTACAAGTGCTTCAAGTGTTAGAAGGATAATAGCCAACGACAAATTCCAAATATCCCCTGGATCAAATCCTCCAAGAGTCAATAGCAAGAATTAAAATTAAAGGATCAGAATATCTCACTTTTTCTGACTGTCATAATTCATCCACTAAAATGTTTTATAACTGAAATTACTACATCATTAGCCTGGCTGGTATGGCTCAATCAGTTGGGTGTCATCTCATGGACCAAGAGGTCACTGGTTCAATTTCCAATCAGGGTACATGCCTGAGTTACCAGCTCAATCCCCAGTAGAGGTCGTGCAGGAAACAGCCAATCAATGTTTCTCTCTCATCAATGTGTCTGTCTCTCTCTCCCTCTCCCTTCTGTTCTCTCTAAAATCAATAAAAACATATTTTTTAAAAATTTTTATTATAAAGTACATTATTAAATATTGGCACTGTAAAACAGCAGCAAGCACTATAATTTAATTATTAAGTTGAAATTTTTTTGTAGATAATGATCATGCCTTAGAAATAAACGAACAATAACTCTTGGTTTTATTTAGCTTTTAATTTATTTTGAAAATAGAACTGAAGCAACAGAAGGGTTAGAAACAAACAAACCTAGAGTAGACAAGCATCTAGTGGCATGTAATAAAAATTTTAACAATGTGCCCTGGCCGGTTTGGCTCAGCGGTCAGAACATTGGCCTGCGGTCTGTAGAGACCTGGGTTCTAAGGGCACGTACCTCGGTTGCAGTTTGTCCCCGGCCCTGGTTGGTCGTGTGGGAGGCAGCCACTCGATGTGTCCCTTTCACGTCGATGTCTCTCTCTCTCTCCCCCCCCACCCCCACTCTATCTGAACAAAATATCAAGAAGTGTCCTCAGGTGAGGATAAAAAAAAAAAATTAACAATGTTATTTATGGCTTTGATTTATATTTAAGAAGGACAGAGATGTAGCAAGCTCTAAACCTTTAAGTGTGTGACTGTTAGAATTTAATGTGGGTATTTGCCCTGAGGAACTGTGGGAAGCCAAAGCAGCTCCCAGAGCTGGAGAACTGAGTAGGGATTCTCCTTCCTGTTTGGTGCTCTTCCTCTGATGCACCTCCTCACATCTGTGCTCTCCTTCCGGTCATATTTCTGTACCATCTCCTCTCCATCACTCAAACATGACAACCCTCTGAGATTAAGTTATTTCTAAAGATTTAATTTGATTTTTAATGGCCCATAGATAACATCATAGTTCATTTGACCATACTCCAATTACATTATTTTTAAAAAAGTTTTCTATAGCACCACAATGTGAATTTTCATATAAATACATATTTGTGTGAGTCTGATTATAGAGTAGAATTACCGAGACAAACAGTATGAAGATTTTTGAAGTAGTTGGTTCCTATACAGGCTACCAACTGTGTGTGAGAGTACCCATACATAGCCAAATTTCAACACTCACCATTTTATTCTTTTTTTTTTTTTATCCTCACCCAAGGATATTTTTCCATTTATCCTTAGACAGAGTAGGAGGGAGAGAGAGAGAGAAATATCAATGTAAGAGAGACACATTGACTGGTTGCCTCCCGCCAGGGCCAGGGACGAACCGCAACCGAGGTACGTGCCCTTGGCCAGAGTCAAACCCAGGTTTCATTGGTCCGTGGGCCGACGTTTTAACTGCTGAGCCAAACCAGCCAGGGCACCATTTTATTCTTTTAACCTGTGTCAGTGTGAAAGGAAAAAATAATAATTTGTTTTTCAATTTCTCATATTTACTGGAAATTTGAATTTTTTCTCTTGTGAATTGCCTGTTCGTGTCTTTAATCAGAGCACGCATATCCCTGTGGCTGCTTTAGTGGGTTTTTTTTTGTTTTGTTTTTTGGTTTTTTTAGAGAGGGGGGAAGGGAGAAAGAGAGAGAGAGAGAGAAACATCAATGTGCGAAACATTGATCAGTTGCCTCCCAAATGCACCCCAGCCAGAGATCAAACCCGAAACCTAGGTATGTGCCCTGACCAGGAATTGAACACACAGCCTTTTAGAGTATGGGCCAATGCTCCAACCAACTGAGCCACCCAGCCAAGGCCTAAAAATAATAGCAGCAAGCACAAATGTAGCTCTACTGTGTGCCAGACACTGCTCTAACTCAAGCTTTCTCACAGGTGGCACTACTGCCATTTTGGGCTAGATCATTCCTTGTGTGCAGTGGACTGTCCTGTGCACTGTAGAGTATTTAGCAGCAGATGCCAGTAACAGCCCTTCCCCAGTTTTGACAACAACAAGAAAATGTCTTCAGCCACCTCCCAATGTCCCTGTGGGGCCAAAATAGCTCCCAATTAAGAAACACTATGCTAAACACTTCATGTACATTAAGTCATTTAATCCTCAAAA